CCTTATATGATGAAAACTGAGGCAAAAGAAGAAACTAAGTACCTTAGCATTTTCGAGCATTTTTAGCTCGATCACTAGGTCTCCAGCCCCATTGAGCAGTGAGTCCACAGTTTCCTTAGCCTTCCTTTGACTGCTGAAATACCTACAACGGCCCATCTTGTTGCCAGGCACATCCCTCATACAGTTCTGACTGAGGCTGAGCTTTCCTAGCTCCCTTCCTGCACACGAGGGTCATGTTTCTACATCCCTTCTGGGAGCCTGTCTCTGTTTCCACCTTACTTTTTGTGTTTTAGCTCCTGTGTGTCTTTAGTACATCTCTGGTGCTGCAACTCCTTGCGCAGCCTGCATAGAAATACTGGCACAGCAATTACCTGAACTTACTAAAATGTCCCTGACCCTGCCCAACATCCAGGGACCTCCATGGGTGCCGGAAAGTAGAAAAGCACTGCTTGCAGGGTGCACACTGGTTCGGTAGCACTGAGTGCAGAGTGGCATGGCCAGGAGTCTGGAGGCACTGAGTCAGCTGTGGAGTTGCTCAGATTCATGAGTAAGCTCAGGCTTAATCTCAACTTGGTTATTCTAACTGGAGCAAGAGAAACTAATATTGACCAAATTGAAACTAATTTTAAGACCCCAGTCTGTGAGGAAAACTTGCAGTGAGTGGCTAAACTCCTAAAGGTGTCAAAACTGTTTCTAAACTCTTTTCCTAGCATACGTTTTGATACTCTGATCTGTGAAACCTAAATGAAACTAACCTTCATCTGCAAGCGCATGCGCGTGTGGGAGTTGGGATAGGTTGAACTGACAAGCTGATTTAGGTATGTATGTTACCTTAAGCACAATGCATGTGAAGATGGGCATAGATATTTCTTCAGCAATGGCTTTGCTAGTTTATCTAGACTTTCCTGTGAGCTAATCACTGAGTAAAAGGAGAAACGCGGAACTGATTCTCTACTGTTTTCAACTGCTGTAAATTAGGAGTAACTGGGCGTTTAGATTATGGAGAAACTTTTTTTCTGACTTTCCTGTTGTCACCTCCTCCAGCCAGGAAAGTTTCATAAAATCTGCTTGAGCCTTCATAGGAACAGTTTTTTATCTTAACTCCTATCTGTTGCTGGGGCAGCAATGACCTGCTGTTTGGCTGCCTAAACTGGCTGGGCTATGTTAGCAAAATAGGCTGAAGAGACTTGTGTAAGCAGCTGCACTGGCAGATTAGGTAGGACTAGTCCTCCGGCTGGAGTTCCCAGGGTGCTGATAGTGCGGGCCTCTCCCATGGGAGCCCAAATCCATCCTTGGTGCCAGCTCAGCAGCTGTCCCAAGCTCAGCAAGCCCCCAGCCAACAACCTCAATGTGCAGGCTGTCGACCTGGCTAGTTTCTGCATGGAGAAAAATCTGTTTTCTCATTCTGAATTAATTGCATTAAACCCACCGTGTTTGTCCTTGTGTCACATTAATAGTTTCAATGAAGCACCCTGCCTTGGTCAGCTTACAAGCAGCACCAAGTTAAAGGGGTTGGTGGGGAGTCTCAGCTACAGAGATGGGACAGGGAGGTGTGCAACTCCAGCGTAGAGGTGTTGCCAGAAATGCATGTTCCCAGAAGTCTCTACAGTATTTTCAGTCTTTCTATAAGTATCAAAAGTTATTTCCGGCTCATAACAGAACAAATGCTGATATTTACGTTCTTCCAAATGTCAGTACTTTTGGTTCCTGTTATTCAGAATAGCTTTTGACTTAATTACTTCTGAGTTTGGTTTATCTAGCCAGTGCAGTGGAAATACTCACCTCTTTTGGACTAGTTCAAATACCATAGAAGAAACACAGCTGGGAATTCAGGAGCATATTTTCTGTGTTTAATGAGTCTCTTTTAAATGCAAGGTATATTTTATTGTGCTTTTTATTTACTCTGGATTTTCAGGGAACTTTATTTAATGAGTAAAAGCATTTAAAATACTTTTTCTAACCCAATGTTTATGAAGCTCTATGTTTCTTCAAAATCAAATGCCTTTTGTAGACATGTGGGATGCCTGTGAGAACATAAAATAACTATCTGAAAAAAATAAATGCTAAGTTAAGTAACTTCTTAAGTAGAAGAGATGTGGTGTGGTATCCTGATTAGCAAAAAGGTATGTCAGGTTCGACATCGAGACTATATTTGGTTGCAAATCAACATATGTTGATAGTTACCAGCTGAATGAGAATGAACTGTTCTTTTAGGAAAATAACTTTGAAAAGGCAGAATAACAGTTGCTTGCATTGTAAATGACATCTTTGCAAGATTTCAGACTGTGACCTAAGGAAGATCAGGAGCTGTTCTGACCTTCCTGTTTTGGGTCAAGCACCTTTCAAGCAGCGGGTACCTGCTGAAACATAAGCTGCCAGAGGCTTTTATATGAGGTGTGCAAGCAGATGAGGAACAAGATTGCGTTTATAGCTGAGACTTAGGCTCTTCTTAATTACAGAGCTGCTGCTTTCCTAGAATAGCTACAAGGCAAGTACAAGTGTATCTTTAAGATATCCAGTGCCTCATTCAGGAGGTGGAGATAGATGCTGAGCTACTCAGGACATACTGACTCACAGCAGGGACATCTGAATGTCTTTGCGTGTGAGGCATATTTGACTTTGTAGAGAGGCAGTGAAGGAAATCATGGGGATTCACCTGCACCATTTTCCTGCTTTGTTGGAGTGCCTCTTGCCAGCATGGCCGCTGCACGGAACCAGCAAGCTGCCTTTGCAGCACCCATCCTCCCCTTTCCTGCATGGGGAGGCTTCCCTGCATCCAGGCTTTAAAATCTGACCCCAGGAAGCTGGGAATGCTAGTCAGGTGTTTCTTCATCATGTCAGTTGCTCCCAGGTTTCTCTCTCCTTATCTTCTTTCAGAACCTTCCTGCACATCTTTTTATCACCTCCTCTCCTTTCTTCCTCCACTATTTTTCCATATCTTCATTTCTCCAGTTGCTCTCTGGTCCTTCTCTCTCCTTCCTGAGCCTAGCTGTATGAGCAATCCTCAGAAGTGAGGATAGGGGATAGGGGTAACGCAGCATTCTTCCAAGCTTTGCAATGCCATCGGCTGATCCCAGCTTCCTCTGCTTTGCATGCAGGTGCCTCTAGTCTGCGACTGTTCAGGACTGTATGTTGATGTGGCTGGTCCCATCAGTCATATGCTATTACTTCTGCAGGGGGACTGTTGGAATGCACAAATGTTTCCTGCTTGACACAGTATTGAATTTGCCTTCCCCTAGCACTTGTGTAGCATGTACCTCTTCTGGAAGCTCAATTGCTGGCGTGTTGGGGAAAGACATTGCTGAAGAGAGGTATAAGCATTCGGTTGTAGGATGCGTGTGGTGCTCTGTCCTGACTTTCCTGGAAAACAGTCTTTAGACTGTTTGCTGTACCCTTATTAGCCTGGCAACTGGATCAGACATCAAGTCAGACCAATATGTGGGTGAGCTTCTGCTTGCACAGAGAGTGTGAGCCTGCTCTGCATGCAGTGGGAGCTTGGCTAAGGTCAGTATGTTCAGCTGGGGTCTGGTCAGGTTTAATTCAAAGATTTTTCTGGTGTGTTTTCTTGTGAAAAAGGAAAGCAGCCTAACGATGAGGGTTTTCTGTTCACAGCATGTAGAAAGCCAATGGCCAGCTGCTCTGTGTGGACATCAGCCCTGTTTTATCAGCTCTGCAGTGAGCTGTTAGCTTTTGGGGCATGCAGACCTCAAAGCATGTTCCTGCAGGACCCGTGTTCAGGGCAAGCAGCTCGCAAGCCTGAATTGTACCTGCCCAGGCCCACACCGTGCTGGGGGATATGTGGCTTCATGGCGAACCCCACAGCTCAGATCACTTAAAAAGCCCCAGTATCTGCTCAGGCTGGAAAGCTATAAAGAGCTATTTATAGAGGCTTTGTTCTTATAGAAATTCCTGAAATAGATGGATGGGCAGAGCTGCAGAGGGGCCACTGGAAATGTCTGAGACTTGCGTTCCAGAGAGGTAAAGTGGGACTGTGCTTCCAGAATGAGGAGAGTTACTGCAGACAGCCCCTGTCCTCCCACTCCACCCAAAGCGTCCCCTGCCTGCACACCCTGGTGCCTGGTCTCCCTTCTATGCCAGCTGAGCCCTGCCTTCCCCCAGCCCTCCCTGCTCTGGCTGCTGGAGGAGCCGGCTCCCTCCTGGCACCCGTGGCGAAGAGTGGCAGGCAGGAAAAGGCCCCTTGCAATGGGGACAAACAACAAACCTACTAGCTACCCAGTCCCCTAACTGCCCTCTGCAGGAACGTGCCAGTTCAAAACCAGGTCAGTGTGGTTTTTTTTTTTTTTTTTTTCCTGTCAGCAGCACGAAGCCTGCTTCTCTACTAGCAAATTAAGCATTTCTTTTGACAGACCAATGAAATACTGTCAGATTTGTGCTCCCTGTAAAAATAGCCAGGGATACATTTTTGATGGCTCCTGGATATGGGTTTCCTTGACCCGGGCCCTCCCACATGCAACTCCAGCACTGCCATCTACTGGTAAACGCCCTGCTGTAAGTGCGACCGCCGGGGCTCCATCCTGCACCCTTGCCAAGTCCCACGTGTTCCCAGCAGTATTACTGGGCAAAGCAGGGAGTGACCCAAGTTGCTGTTTTTGGGCTCTGCTCTGGGCTCTGCAGGCATGAGCTGCAGCTGGATGCAAACGAGCTGGCTGCCAGCCTTGCCCCACCGCTCTCCCAACACTACTGCTGCATGCCCTTTGGGTGCTGAATGAAGTAGCCCAGATTGAGCTTGGGTGATGAGAGTGTGGTAGGCAGGGACACCCAGACTCACCTGGGCAATGTTGTCTGCACACACCTGGACATACATTGTTGAGCTCTTCTGATAAGACTTTGGAATAGAAATTGTTGGGTACCCTAGAAGCAGCTGAGACAAGGGAGGTGGTGTGGGTCAGGCCTGTGCATTCCCCTACCTGAACAGTGACAAATTTCTCCTTCCTCTGTGGCAATAAACCCACCTCTGTGTGTTGCTCTTCCTTCTCCAGCACTCGACACTGTCACGCAAGTTTGTGGAAGTGATGTCTGAGTACAATGCCACGCAGACCGACTACAGGGAGCGCTGCAAAGGGAGGATTCAAAGGCAGCTGGAGATCAGTGAGTAAAACCAGGTGGTAAAACCAGCAGGAAAATTGCTGTGCCCAGCCAGAGGTAAAAGTGCTGTATTAGTTCTCAAGGAAGGACAACTGCTCCAGCATTTGCGTAGCGCTCCCCAGTTAAAATCCCAGGACACCTCAGCTGTGTGTGCGCACATAGGAATGACAGGGATATGCTGCAGACATACAAATGTGATATTCCCTTGTTTTTTGGTGGCAAAAATGGAACGGGCGCTGCTGGTTTGTCTGCCAGAGCTGAGGAATTGGTGATTCCCAGTGCCCTGTCCTCCAATTAGTCCCTGCTGCTGACCTGGTTGGTTACTGCTGAGTTTAGGCTGGTGGCCTGCTGAGGGAGGCTTCTTGATGGCTTCCCAGCACCAGCTGTGGAACATGCCCTCTTTGATCTGGCTTGGGAGGTGCAGGGTTGGATTTGATTCCTGTGCTTTGCTGCCGTGGGATGGCTTGGGGATAGCTGTCCACCAAATGCCAGTGGCCTGCAGGTGTTCGGCAGAAATACTTGGAGGCTGCAGACAGTAAGGGCGGTTTTCAGCTCAGCAATATAATGGTTGCTTTATTAGCCACCCTGTTTAAGAAAGCCAAACAGGTGAGTCTTACTGAGGTCCCTTGGCCCTGTCTAGCCAGTTTCTGCACAAGGTAAGCTTTCTCATGGAAACCTCTGACATCTTCACCCATCCTCTCAGCAGTGATGTGAGGACAGGCAGAACCACGCAAGGCATCGTGGTGGGGAGCATCTCCTTTCCTCCAGGCTCTGGAAGCATCGCTTTGCCTACAGGGCTGGCAACATGCACTGGCATCTGCACTTGCATCCAGCAAACCACCAAAACTCTCCTGAGGTTAAGTGCTACATAGAGAAGGAAGAAATTTCTTCTTCCTTGTTTGCAGCTAATTTTGAATTCAAACAAGCTAGTGGGAACTGCTGACGCTGTTTGTTTCTGTGACATAAGTCCCTGCCCACATAGTAGCAGCGCTTGGCTTTCCTCTGTGTGGTTTTCATTTCCAGTGAACTGAAGTAAATATCAAACCAGACAACTCAGTTCTTCAGATGTGGGCACTCACTGTTGTTGGCACCTCTTCCCTGATGCAGGAGAAGCATGGACCCTGGTCTCTGCCCCAGGCAGCCTCCCCTAACCCAGGACAACAGTGATGGTTCTCAGGAGCTGTGGTGTTAGCTGTTGTCTCTGTGGTTGGGCGAGGGCACTGTTGAGTCTCCCTGATGGTGGCCCAGGCCACAGTAGTGCAGTACACTGGCTATGCCTCTGTTTCTCCGCTGCTACCGGTCTCGTGTCCACCATAGTCCTTGTCTCATGGTCCTCTGTGCATGGCCTGCCAGCTCCTCATCTGGCCTGTGCAGCTATTTGCTGCTGAACTTCGACCCACTCTCCTTGGTGTTGTGGCTCCAGCTCTTGTCTCCATCTCCGGGTGTGCTGTCTCTATCGTTGGCTTCTCATGCAGCTTTTCTGTCCCCTGACATCCCCCTGCGAGGTGCAGCAGGGCATCTTGCTGCAGAGCTGCAAAAAAGGATCTACAACATCACCCTAAGTAGGGGAATAAACAGACAAGGGAGAATTCAGAGCAAGCATATGTTAAAAGAGATTTTGAAGATAATCTGATAGGCAGAGAGGTGTCACAGGTTTTCTGTGATAAAAATGTCAGAATCTGAAATGTGGTCCACGTTTTTTTTGTTCTCACAAACAAGTGGGTGCTTTGTCTTCCTGGGAAAAGCCTGTCTCTCAAGACTCAGCATGAGTAATAGGGTAGAAGAAGGTCTTTGAGCCCAAATGGGGTCTTTGAAGGTCAGATATGGAAATATCCTTCAGGAGTTGCAAATACCAGTGAATTTGGATGTTAGTGGGGCATCTTAGCTTCTGTAGAAGGCTAGGAAGAAAGGTAGTCCGTGTATACCAGGGTGTATAATAATAAACTGTTTCACACTGGCTGAATAGAAAGGTTGATTGACATGGGCCTCAACAATAGCTTGACATTTAATGTAAAGCAGAATGATGAATGCTTGTCAGTGCTCCAGCTAACTATGATTAATTTGTTAACTGGATTCTTTAGGTGATGTCCAGCCACAGGGATGTCTTACAGTGTAAACAGGTATTTAAGGTATTCCTGTTCCTACCTTTTAAGAGAGAAGATTTTAAAGGACTTAACCAGGTCCTTAATCATCTGCAGGGAAGCTCTGAAAGAAGCTTTCCTCTTGATTTTGTAATCAGAACCTTTGAAGGGGCTTTGTCCCTCTGCCTGAATTATGCAGTACTTGTCTGCCTTGTCCATCCGGGTGGGCTATTGTGCAGTGCCCAACAGAGCATTGATAGCACGTCAGAAAAAGGTTGTTCAAGACTTGCTGTAGTGCAGTTGTTGGGTGCAGATATGGTGGTGTGGTTAGTGATGAGGAGGTTAGTGATGAGGGAGCTGCTTTCCCTTTGGAGTGGAGATCTGGAACAGATGCACGTGTAGCAGGAAGTAGGAAGGGGTCTGTGCTGGGAAAGTACTGGCCTGTACATGATCCTCTGCAAAAGCTTAGTTTCTCTGTCCTGTGAAAGCAGAAAGTCTCTGTTGGCAAAATAGCTTGTCAAAAGCAACAAGCTCGTTCGAGTTTCGTCAGGAGTGCTTCCTGGAGAGAAAGCTGTACTGTTTCCTAAGTGTTACAGCCAGCATCTTCATTATCTGCTGTTTTATGTAGTCTTGAAAAGGCTCTTTTGAATGGAGCTCTGCTGGGATGTAGCAACTGCACAAATTCCTGAGCTCTGTTAGCTGATGAACCCAAAGATAGGAAGTTGCAGGAGCTCTGACAATGGAGCTAATCAATCACTCAGGTTTGGAGAATATGAGATCAGGGAGTTTTCAGCTCTTCTAGGGTGGCTCTCCAACATCCTGCAAGCTTCTCCATCTGAACTGCTTCTCCTTACTCTGGAAGGAAGTGGGACACTAATTCCAGCCCCTCTTCCTAGGTCTGATGTTTGTGACATGGTGGTTCAGCGTGTGCCAGCCTCGCACCTCCTCCCAGTGCAGTACAGAGGTGGTGGGGGGACAGCTACAGCAATACCTCTCTGCTGAAGTGCAGCTGACTGCAGAGGTCCTCCCCAGACTTCACCTATTCACCCTGTCCTGCCTACGCCATGCCACTTCTAGCAGCAGAAAGGAAGAAGAGCTTCTGTCCTAATCTTACTAGGTGCCCTCAGTACACCCAACTTGCTCACTCCAATCCCAAAATGCACCAAGATATCTGATATCACAGAGGGGTTTCAAGATGCACCATGTGCTCAGGTTCATGACAGCAGGACAGATTCCTCTGGCTGTTCCTTGCTCCAGCTCCGTTCCAGTTAGATCGTGCCTGCCCCCAGTGGTATCCTTGTGTCGGAGTCAGTGCAGTTAGGAGCCTTCCTCTCCAAAGGAGGCTGCTCTCCAAAGTCTGGACATCATATGCTGCTTGTGATGGGAGGTGACACTCCTTCATCTTCTCCTCCTTTTTTTCCATTATGAGAAATGATATGCTAAAACTAATTAGGTTTTACTCTCAGAGAAATTAAATTTGAGGCTTGGAGGAGCTTTCTGTGATGGCTGTGCAGCTTTGATGCCGTGGAGGTACCATGCAGAAGCTGCTTGTTTTCATGAACGGTTTTGTTTTGCGCGAGACTGACAATCCAAAAATAAAATATCTGTTGTCTCCACAGGCATTGAGACAGTTAATCAGCCTCTGACTCACCATGCTAGACCAGGTTAATTGATGCGCAGATGTGTCACAAACTACCTTTGAACTAGGACTGTCTGAGGGTGGATCTGGCCCAAAGGCCCCCCTCTGCAGCCTTGGGTGATCTGAAAGGCCTTTGGTGCTTCTCACGCATGTGTTTAGGCCTGTGAAGGCAGGAGAACTGGCTGTGTATGGGGAGCTGGGCTGGGGTGCAGAGCAGCCCGGGTGCTCTGCACCCCAGGTGCAGGTTCTGGAAAAGACTCCTTTAGGTTTCCCATGGCACTTTCATCTCTGGAATCGCTGTAGGATTTATCTCCTCAAAAGTGTCTTACTGAGTCAAGGGAACAGTTTTGCACAACTATGGAAGTCTACCTGTGCAGCCCTCCCTGTCTGCTCCAGTAAGCCTAAGCAGAAAGGGGGTCCCAGGAGACAAAGATCCAGGTGTGAGTTTGTGATGTGCCAGCCAAGCTTTTAGAGCTGAAATCTGTCCATCTGAATGACATTATATCCCATGCTAGACTTATTTGATCTAGAAGAAGGCTGAGAGAACCAGATCACTAGTACGGGTTATCTCTGTGCACGCAGGCTGATGTGGCAGTTTTATCTGTATATGTACAAGTTCATATCTAAAGACAGCTTGAAAATCTGATCCAAGCAGGAGAGCCCATCCTCCAGGGAAGCTGTCTTATACAAGGTTGTCTTCTGCCAACCTTAGCTCTAGGTACTCATGTAGTCCTGACTGCTGGGGAAGAGGGATGCCCTGAGCTGAAGGAGCATCACTCAGCTGTTGCTGTGAATATAGTCATGGCATATTTGACTTCTGCACGTCTTGTAGCAGCCAAGGTGCCTGTTCTGAAGTCTTTTCTGCTTATAGAACATACGACGTGGAACTCAGCAAACTGACGTTACCACTCTTTTCCCCTTGAAACTTCCTCAGGGACACTCCAGAGCGAGCTGCTCCTGTCTCATGTATGGCTAAGCCCTTCCCACTAGGGAGTAGGTTGATGAGGAAGTTTGCTTATCCAGCTGGGCATAGCAGGGCCAAGGCCTGCACAGTGTCTTTGAGGGGAATTTGATGTCAAGTCTCCTCGATGGCTTCGTGTCTATGCCTGTTCCAGACTTTCTGGTGTCCCTGGCATGCTGTGATCACGAAAGACGTTCCTGTGGCTCTGTGCATCTTCTCCATCTGTTCTGTCCTTGCCAGCTCAGGGCTGAGTTCTCTTCTTCCTCCACTGTGCAGCCCCCAGCAGGGCTCTGTGCTGCATGTGTTTGATGGCAAATGTCAGAGTCTTTTCTGCCTAGAAAGGCTTTAATATCTATATGCTAAGTGCCTCGAGTCAGATATTCCAGAGCTTGCAGAGGAGATAGAAGTCCAGTTCTTGTGGTTTTCCAGCACATTGCCAAGTTTCAGAGCAGAAATTTTCTCACAGGCTCTTCCCTCTTTGTGAACACTTTGCAGCAACTCAGTGCTTTCATTCCCATTTCCAGCTGTACAATAGCCCTGTGGTGATGTGGAAGAGCAAATCAGCCGAGTATCTAACACACATTCATCTACTTTTATTGCTGATCAGCAGCGAGAAATGAGGAGGAGTTAGCAACAGCCTCTCCAAACCATAAAACCTAACCAGAAGGCAGTGGCTTCCCTGTCAAGTCCTCTGGGGTCCTGCAAGTCTGTTATATTGCTTTGGATAGCATTGTACTGCACAGCATGGGCAAGATGCAGCCTTCAGACCTCATGCTGTGGCTTAACAGTAAAGCAAGCTCTTCCTCACCAACAACAGGCCCTCGGCCAAGCCCATGGTGTCTGCCCAGTTGTTGATCTGCCTGATGTGTGTTTCTCATCCTTCACCTCGTTGTATGCTTCAGGGCCTCTTCCAGCACAGGGTTCTGCAATAGGGAAACTGGACAACAAGGAGGCTGGCTCTGGGCTCCCAGCAGGGCAGTGAGAACAAGAGTAAGACCCCATAGCCTGTGTCCTGTCCTGGCTCTGACTATAGGACATGTGACATCTCCTGGATGAGGCACCTGTTTACTAGCTGGTCCTGCAGCATTTTTTCAGGGCTATCTCTAGGATTGAAATGGGGAAAAATAGGGGACCCTCCAGCCCCATCTCCTGGATAGACTTTGAATCTGTGTTGCGATCTTGACCCCAGGCCTATCTCTGGCCATGTCTCCTGGTTGGACCTTGGACCTATGTTGCAGCCATTTCCCCAGTCCTGTCTCCAGCCCCATCTCCTGCTGCCCCTCATGGGGACTCCGTGGCTGGCCCCTGGACCAGGGATCACCTTGCCTTGTTTGGGACTGTCAGTGGATCCTGTTTTCAGGGCCCTGCTCAAATGCTGAAGGAGTGTACCCCGGTCAATGAGGGCCCTGGAAGTGCTGTAGTCACCCTTGGCTCCCATCTTGTCCCTTGCTGCAGAGCAGCCCTACCCTTGCTGCTCCCAGCCCTTGGCTGGCTTCTGGGGCAGGTTGGCATCTCTGCATTTCTGCAGTCACCTGGTTTCTGATACCTTTTGGGTTCCTGTGCCTGCATTGTGCAGGACTAGGGTAAAACGATTGAAAAACGCCCTTTGTGCCAGGGCTGCAGGCCTCGTTCTTGATGGTCATGCAGTGAGATGTGAGGATGGAGAATCATGCCTTCCCTAGCACTTCTGTGGAGTTGGGAATTGCCGAACAGATTTATTGCTGGTCTGCTCAGGGATGGCTCTTACCAAGTGCTGAGGGCCCTGTCGTTTGGCTCTAATTGCCTCTCTTTGAGGGCTGCAGACTAAGCAAGGCATAGCAGATTTCTACTCCTCTCCCTCTCTGGTTCTTTGTGCTCATGTCTTTCAGGTGGATCCTTGCTGTGCTGTGTTGCACAGTCCTTTTGTTTCTCTTTAAAACTTTTATTGTACTTTTTAATATTGTTTTCTGAGATCTGCTCTGCTCTTTGCTTCATTTCCTTGCAGTGTGCAGTCAGATCTGAAGATTTATTCCATTTCCAGAGAAGAAACGATGAGTTGTGAGTTAGCCTCCCCATAGAGGTGTTTCGCTGAGCTGAGCCCCTTACTCCAGCCCCTAGTACCAGGGGAGGGGAGCAGGGCCCATTATAATCCCCATTATCTTGAAAGCTTCATGCCTGGACACGCTCAGGCCAAGCTCATCCCATTTTGCTCTCTTCCCATATATCAGCGCTGGTGTGCCTGTCCCAAGTTCCTGCCAGACAGCCCTGGGCATGCCAGAAACAGTGCCTGCTCCCTCCTCAAGTGCCTATGAGGTCCCTACCTTGGATCTCCACTGCCAGAGCTGGCTGAGGAGCATTTGCAGCATTACCAACTCATTTCTATTGGTGGTTAAAATAAAAATCCCACTGTTTTTTTAGATTATGAGATATTTAATAGGGGATAAATAATATCCCCTAAATATTATAAAATATTATATTATTATATTATATTATTTTATTATTTCCCCTATAAATAATAGGGGAATTATTTTCTGGCTGCGGGCAATTAACTTGCAAATAAAGTATTTCATTATTCAACAAAAACAGTGAAAGAGAGATTTCTTCTTAAAAAAAATTCCATTTTTTCTTTCTGACCATTGTTTTTCCTCTTGTGCGTTTTTGTTTTTTATTTCTCTTCCACCTGTGGTTGTTTTGATGACATCCCGGTAAATGGCTCCTCCTCTTGTGCTACCTCTCTTCTACAATTACAAATTGCTTTTAAAAATCTGATTAAGTCACAGCTTTTGTTTCCCCTTCTGCAATGTCTGTGCTTGTTGCCAGTCTGGATGACCCCCGATAGGTGCTGTCTGAGCTGCTGTATTGGATCCAATCCTGTCTGATGCTGGCTGGGATGGCGTGGGGTTTGGGTATCTCCTCTCGGGCACAGCTCCTCAGCATGACCCCCAGATGCAGACTCTATGTCCCCTGCTTGGGGCATTGTTGCAGTCCTCTACCTAGTGCTGTGCCTTGGAGGCCTCCCAAAAAGTTACCGTGTGTTTCCCATAAGCTGCCTTCCCGCCTGTGTGCCTGGGAGGAGCACCAGGAGCCCCTCCAGCTGAGACGTTGTCCATCTCCCATGGCCCCACAGCGTTCACCTGTTCTGGTGGGCAATGCCCTCTCCATCCCCTCACCTCTCTGTAACCACATGGCAACTGCTGGCCTCCATCACTTCTTGTTTGCTATGCCTCATTTGGCTAGTGGGGTAGTTCATCCTTGTACTGTCGCTTCGCTATCTGCTCCCTCCCTGCCTTGTCCCTATTTGCTCCTGATTGTACTGTTGGCTTTGGCTGATGACTCCTGTCCTCTCTGCAGATGCAGCCTGCTCCCTCTCCCTGGTTCCTAGTGAGCCTCAATACAAGCTTGCCTTGCATGTTAGTCTGCTTAACACTGTAACTTCATGGGTCCTACACAGTTATTAGCCTGAAAAGCATGGTGTAATTAATGGTGGAGGGTTGGTGTAACGTGCAGAGTAGTTATCATCTCCCTCCTCTATAGCTGCATGGAAGGTGTCTGCAGGGAGAGGGAGGCAAGTCTGCGAGCTGAGAATGGGTTAATTGCCCCCAGAGGAGCTGTGGGGCTGAGGGTCCTGCCAAGAGTGAGGGATGTGTCCCAGGGAGGAGGGATGAGCTTAGTTTCTCTGCATTATACAGCTGAAGGACTAAAACTCGGGCAGCCCATACTTGGCACGGGGCACTGAGATGTTAGATCAGGTCCTCAATCCAAATCTCACAAACAGGTTTTGGTCAGTAAATGTGATGCCCCAGCTGGGAGGGATTCAGTATACCCATCCCAGTGGTCCTGTGGACATGGGGGACCTGTGGTGATAGCAGGGCGCAGAAGGAGGGCTGGGGGCTTGGGCTGGGAAACGCTGGTCAGAGCCAGCACGAGGGAGCACATGGTTGCAAGTGAAGATACTGGGCCGGTGCTTGGGGACATGGGGTTAAGGGAAGCAAGTCCTGGCCGGTAGGTTCTCCCCTGCTGGCTGACACAACTGAATGTCTCTTGTGGGCTTGAACTGGCCCAGGGAGTTTCCCCATGGTACTGTGGGGAGCCCTGTGGCCTGTCCCTGCTCTTTGCTTGCTGTTCTCCATCCTCCTCCTTGCACCCTGACACCTGGCTGCTGGTGGTACCCAGTCCTTCGTCACTGCTCCATGCTGTGTCGGGGATGCAGGCACCCAGGAGCCCTGCGTGGTCCCAGCGAGCTCTCAAGGCTGAGCCAGGACTGCAGGGCCAGGCAGGCCTGCCCCAGAGGGGAGGGCAGCACATTCAGGACGGACAGGCTTTCTAGGTGAGCTGGGCAAAGCTGGTGGCTGGACTCCCTTGAGAAGAGAGGCATTCCTTGCAGTGATGATGGCCCTGTAGCTGCCACTGCACTCTTGGGGCTGGAAGTAGAGCTCAGCTGTCCTTTTGGGAGATGCTACAGAGCTGGCTGAGCCCTCATGTGGTGGCCCCGTGCCTGGGAAGGGAGTCTGGGCACTCACTCACGACTAACCTATGTGTATCACTTGCAGCTGGCAGGACCACCACCAGTGAGGAGCTGGAGGACATGCTGGAGAGCGGGAACCCAGCCATCTTCTCTTCTGGGGTAGGCACTGCAGGTTGGCCCTGGCCTAAGCCCAGTGCAGGTGAAGGCTGAGCCAGCCCCCACCATCCCTGCATCCCTGGGCCCTCTTGGGAATATAGCTGGTGGATATGCTCCTGCTGTGGTAGTAGCTCGCACGAGGTGAAGCAAATCCTATGGAAGAGGGTTTGTATGGAGGATCCTATCCCAGCAGGATGCTGCATCCTGTCTTTAGAGGCAGCTTTGGGCCTGGAGGACTTTGGAGTGCTCAGATGTTGCCGCTTGGCAAGGGCTACCCCCACTGTGGTACTGGGGAGGATGGTGTCTGTATTGCAGCCATGTCTTTTTCTCCCCAGTGCATCAGCTGAGATCCTGAGAAACGCAGGTTTGCACTAGGGCCCTGCCTTGACCAGGTCCTTTCATTACCTGAAGGACAGAGAGGTGTGCAGCCTGTGTCCAACCTGCCACGCACCTCTCCAGTCCATTGCTGGCCTTGGAGCCATTAGCACTGCTCCATGGGGACTCGCCATGGCCCTCATGCCAGCAGGGAGCTGGGCCCATGAGGCCAGACCTCAGAGAACTTCTGGTGTCTCGCTCCTGCTGAACCTCCCCAGCCCCAGCATCATGGCTGGGTACAAGAAGCAGCTTAGCTCTACTCAGCACCATCCAATCCCTTCTGGCTCAGCCAGAGAGCAGGATGGGGCCCAGTCACCTCCCACTCAGTGAGATCCTGCTGTGGGGTTTGAAGAAACGCCTAGAGATCCTGTGTCCCCCTGTGGAGCCGCCAGCTGAGGCCAGGGGGGCTCAGATCTCTCCCAGATCCAGACCTTCCCCTGTCCCTCCAGCCCCCCAAGCAGCAGCTGTCCTGTAGCACTCTGTTCTCACTGTTGCTCCCCACTGCCCACGCATCTCAGCTATGGGTTTGGTCTCTCATTTGTCACATCTGTCATTCCTGGCTCAGAGTATGTAATGCTGTGGCCAAAGGATCTGAAGCCCAATGTCTGTCC